TTATTCATGTCTATGGCTTGGTCGACTGAATTACATATAACTACCATAAGTAATTTAATGATGATAAGTGTATTTAAGTTCTATAACCATGACAGATCATGATTCCAAAAATTTTTACACTTTACAGACTTTTTGATGTTCTGGGGCCAGTTGTAAAAGACTAGTTAATTCTTAACTGTATAGTTAAGAGCAGAATTGACCAATCAGAGTCGTGCATTTCTGAGTCAACCAGGATTTAACTATGCAAAATGTAGTTAAAGGGTTTTATACAACCGGCCCCTGTATTTTATCGAAAAAAATTAACTAAGCGCCGTAATTCTTATTTTATAATTTCACATACCTTGCCAGCTTACGTCAGTGTATCCACCAAAGATACAATTATTGGCCTTCACCAAAACCACGGTCGGTCCTTTATTGTCACAAAGGCTGTGAAAATCTTGGGCTCTCCAACCATCTCTTGAAGCACGGTAACAAAGATTCCAATAACATTTCTTTCCCAACCATTCCTGAAGTTGTTTAATGAAGGCTATCTCTCCTTTCAAAATACTGGACGAATTTCGTAATTTGAAATGTCCACTATGTCCTAAAAATTAATCATGGAAATCAGTTAGAAAACGGTCAGAAAGGTGTAATACGGCATTTTCCCGCGCATAATACAGTATATTTTTACGTTTTCTGATGACCTTATTTGGTGAAATTTGTTGTCATATAATGATAAACGTCTTGTGAAATGTACGTAGTAAAACAACTGCTTAAACCGATAAAAATATCTGCCTCAGAGTTTCTACCTAAGTGCCTTTCCAGGAAATTTGGTATAACGAAAGGCCTCACAAAGGACCGATCAAGCTCAAAGCCAAGTCAAGAGGGTTTTTGGTATACTAAAGGCAGTAATAGACATTTTCGATAATTATGTCACACCATTATGTCACACCAAATTTAGAACCACCTTAATTAAATGAAATGGATTTCGCACAAACCATGTGCAAAAATACTCTAACTTCAACACATTTTGACAAATAAGTGTAGAAATAAGCTATAACACGAGAACGAGGCTCCCAGTCATGCCCCTGAGCCTCATTCTCGTATTTCCACATTTTTTTGTCAAAATTAAAAAAATTCTATTTCATGTATGTATAGAAGAGGGTGCTTTGAATCTTTGCTTGTGGCTCATAAGAGTAAAACTTGCAATTCATCTCATTTAAGGTGGTCCTAAATTTAAAACTATAATGTTGTGATGTAATTATTGAATAGGTCGATCTATTATTATACCACATTTCAAATATAGGAAGTTTTTTAAAGATGCAGAAATGCTGCCTAAGCTAATTATACTGAAAAATACCTTCAATATGTCCCAATTTATCAACAACTTCATCAACATTGATATTATGAATATCACCAGGTACATGCTGAATATTGCCATCATTGACTGCTGTTAGATCCTCCGGCTTTTCTTTTTGCAACTTTTTAATACTTTCATCAATCTGTTTTTGCAAGGAAAGAATTTCTTCAATGCTTCCCCTCTTCAGGAGACTTTTAGGTAAGGTCACTGAAGCTTTTAGTTTGTCACGATAATCTTTAATTTCATCATGTTGTTTGTTTAGTTCACTGTGTAATTCATCATAAGCCTTGTCAACTTCTTCATTCAAATCTTTTGTTCTCTCATCAACTTTTTTTGCCACAATCTTCAAAACTTTTTCCTTCTGTTCTTTGATCTGATCTTTTGCAGTTTTAGCATTCTCTTCAAGAGACTTCATTACACTTTCAATATTATTCAAAGCTTCGGTTGCTTCTGATAATTTCTTATCAAGCGTTGAGCAGCTTGATTGCAATATTTCTTTTTGTTTCTGCGCAACTTCACTCATAGCCACGCATGAATGGTCTGGTTTCTGATGATTTAACACGACACAGTCAATACAGCAAAGTTCCTTGCAATTTTCACAGAAATAATCCAGCACTTTGTCCTTGTGTTTCATGCAGTGAAGCTTCCTTCTCATTTTCATTTGACTTTCAGGGTCACTTAGTTGTTGTACTGATAAGACATCATGGTTGTTATGAGCTGGCCAGATGTCATGCAATTGTGAACATTTCTCACACATGAAGATTTCGCATGATGAGCAGTGTTTGATGGCAGGATCTTTGCAGCGAAAACATTCAGTGGAACATTTGGCCTTTTGTTGAATCGCCATAATTTCCAGCATATTGTTGATGAAGCAATTACTTGACATTTCAGCCAAATCTTGATGTGATTTAAAGGTAAACTCTAGGCGACATTTAGGGCATGGAAATGTCTCAATGTTTTGGTCACCACCACGAAGACGTTCAACATACTTTTCTAAATGAATATTACAACACACGACATGAAGTCTTTGAGGTATTGATATGAGCATATAACATTGCGATCCAGGCAATCATGTTATTTGTGTAATTTATCACCCCTATGTACAATAGCATGTGCTTGTTTGATGTCATAAAGACTTCTTTCAATACCTCAAAGTCATCTCACACTTTGATCATGTAAACAGCCCTTACTCGCCTTTAATTTAGTCAACTAGCTAGTATTTAACAATTAGACAATGAGTCCAAGTTGTCTATGAGCGAATAGTCAACAAAGGCGAAGCCTGAGTTGACTATTCGCTCATAGACAACAGAGGCGAGTTGTCTAATTGTTTTAGTATACACCCTGTACCTAGATATATTAATTTCGAGAAAATAATCGATACACTGCAATTACACCGAAAAATAATTTAATTAACTCAATTTTATACGGTAGAGCAAGCGAATTTTTCCCAAATGTTCACCATCACAAATTGACAATAGTTCAGTAGCCAATCAGAATGTAGGATTTGTAATAGACAAGTCGGGTATAATTACCAAAACATATTAGTTCACAGTGATATTTTACAGACAACAACTCTACTGCCACACAGCAGATTGACTGACCTGCTGTAATTTGAAGCAAAAGGAGCTAGGTTTCAATTATATTTTTTCATTGTGTTACTATTAGTTTTATTGCAGGGGAGTATGTATATATAAGCCCCCTAGTGGGTGAATTCATTTATATCATTGTAATACACTGCACTCAAAGCTACCTTGTAGTGTATGAAAACTGACAAGTGACATAATTAAGCAATTCTTAAATATATCTTTTGGCAGTATAATTGTCAGAAGCGTCACCACGAAATCGAAACCACGCTGCCCTGAAGAAATTACTACATGTTGACGAAGCTATACACACAAATTTTGAGCGAGTACTACTTATAACCATTATAACCACGCGTCGTAATACAACAACTATAATTTCAAAGTAATATCATATACGCACCTAAGCACCCTTTACAGAAATTATGAAGACAAGTCAAGCTTTTTGGATCATGTAAAATATTTGAGCACAACGAGCAAGTGAGAAGATCTTTGATTTCATCAAAAGAACCACTGTCAGGTGAAACATTCGCCATTGCCTTTCTCGCTTCAGCTTCACTTGCACCTTGGCTTAGTAAATTCAACGAAACGATCGCATTATAAAATCAAAGTATAAAGTTGTGGTTGAGTTTGTTCACGGAAATTTGATTCTTGGAATCCAGATTCCAATGGACTGAGTGGAGACTGGAGAGTGGAGCTCTATTTTAGCCTGCGATTAGGCGATAAGGTTGATTCAGTGAACTCTAAAAAGACTGGAACGATAACCTGGCCGCCATCTTTGAAGCCAGCACTGATGGCCGCCATGAAGGCCAAGAGTTGAAATTACCCCACCAAAACAACGCCGGTTTTTATACACAAATCCATCTCATCTGATCATGAAGAAAAGCTTAAAACAAGCATTGACACTTAGATTTTACTAAAAAACAAGTTTTACGAACATGAGAAGGTGCAAAGCTATTTTTTTTGCGAGTTGAAGGCGAAGTTTTTTTCGGCTCGTTCAAATTCTTTAAATATTTCAAGTACAAAGCTGGTACCTCGCCGGTTTTTACAGTAAGATGATGCGAATTACTTAGGTCTATCCAAAAAGGGTAAATTCGTTGTTTAAAGTTGAAGTGGTCAAATAAAAATTGCACTTTTCTGGCAATTTTTTGCCAAAAAATACGATTTTTACGGAATTCTCACTCTCCCCAGTTCTTTTGAAGGCTTGATTTGGTCGCGCGGCTCCCGCCTTAATCAGCAAATTATATTCAAATCGGCTTCATCCAATGACTAGTCTTTATTGTTGAGTTATCGTTCCAGTCTTTTTAGAGTTCACTGGGTTGATTTGAAATATACACAGCCACCCAAGCACCTCCGCGCGCTCGCATTTTCAGCTGACCTGTATACAATAACTGAACACAACATTATTTTTTTACTATTAAAGCGCCGGGGTACAAGGCTGATATTACACCTGTTGTGGAAAGGTTGCATCGACAACACACGCTCGCTCTATCCACCGACCACCGGAACACAAATTTGTATGCAAATTGCCTTTAGGCTTTTGTTTGGTATAACCCAGATTAAACCTCGGCATTCCTAAATTAGAAAGTATTTCTAAAGGCCCACACAGACAGGACGCGATTTGGCAACGCGGCGCGAATTTTTAACGCTTTTTAATTTTAATCAATCATAATATTCTTATAGATTACTTAACTTTTGACTGTTCTGGTGTACCGTATATTCCAAATTTTGCTTCCTGAACGAAATTTTTATGCTTCTATATAGAACTGACTGAAAATTCGCGTCGCATTGACATATCGCGTTCGGCCGGCTTGTGTCGTCGACCTGAAATCTGATGGCTACTGAATCGATAGGAAAGACAGCACAACAATGACAATATTACATAAAGCAAATTACATAATAGATTTTTTCAAAGAGAATGAACGTATTAAAATGACAGTATATGTAAAAGAATATTTAACAAATTAATTAGCATGGCCTAGCTATAAGTATAACGGCCGGCCTGGTAAATATTCATAAAGTAAACGTGTAAGCTCTACACTTGTGTCTGACAGAGTCAGTAAAGTTGGAACTTGTCTTTTTACCACGTTCCTCTTTCCTCGAGCCACACTTTTATGACCATATTTTCATGACTACAAATATTATTTCTGATAATGTACTCTTATGCCGTTTTCATTACCTTATTAGGTAAAAGTCAGTTGAAAACTTCAATTTCTGTTGTTATAAAACTCTTTTGACCTGCGAGAAGTTTATATGCTTGTTCGCTGCCACAATCATAGCCAGGAGGGAGTTGGTAGGTGTTTCCAAAATTGCTGGATGACTGATTTACGTTAGGACTGCCACAAATGCGCAGGTCAGGACCTGAACCAAAGTTTGGCCCATATGAAGACGAACAGCAGATTGCATGCTGCTGCTGACCTTGTTTGATGTTGGCAATGAATGGACCAAGGGCAAGGTTGTCTTTGTTCTGTAGTGAGAATAGAAATGACGAACTTGAGTTTCTCCAATTACCGCCTATAAAAGGAAAAAGTACAAATATTTAGTTTGAATAACAGTGCACAAAAGAACTATTATATAGCTTATTCAATAAGGGAAAATCATCATTTAGAAATCTCGTCATACGTACCTGTAGACCAACTTTGGTCAGTGTATCCGCCAAAGATACAATTATTGGCTTTCACCAAAACCACAGTCCGTCCTTTATTGTCACAACGTGAATGAAACGTTTGGGCGCTCCAGCCATCTCTTGAAGCCCGGTAACAGAGATTCCATTTACATTTATCTCCCACCCACTTGTGTAACCGTCTCATGAAGGCTACCTTTCCTTCCAAAATACTTGAGGACGTTTTTAGATTAGCGGGGATGAGGGCATCATCTGGGAAATATATATTTGTTTAGTGTGAAAAGATGTAATAACTCTATATGCAGCAAAGGCTTAATTTTCAGTGAGATAGTTAAAATTGAAAACCTCGCAAGCTTATTGGGGTCGTTCGCACATACCTTTTACTTGTCCAAATTTATCAACAATTCCATCAGCACTGACTTGGCTAATATCCCCAGGTACATACTGAATATCACCATCATTCGCTGGGGTGAGATCATACGGTTGCTCTTTCTGTAGCTTCTCAATATTCTCATCAATCAGTTTCCGTGCTGAGAGAATTTCTTCGATAGACCCCTCTTTCAGCAGTTTTTTCGGAAAGGAGATTGAGACCTGGACTTTTCTAAGATAACCTTTAATTTCATCATTTTGTTCGCACAGTTCATTGCATAATTCATCATAAATCTTGTCCACTTCTTCGTTCATTTTCTTTTCTCTCTCGTCAAGTTTCTCCGCCACAACTTTTAAGATACTTTTCTTGTGTTCCCTGATTTGTTCTTTCGCTGTTTTAGCATTATCCCCGAGAGATTTCATCACTTGAGCGATGTTTTTCAATGCCACTTTCCCTTCGGATAATTTCTCGACCAGTGTTGCACAGTTCGATTGCAAAGTTTCTCTTTGGCTCTTTGCAATCTCGCTCACAGCCACGCAGGAATGGTCTGGCCTCTGATGACTTAACAACATGCAGTGTATACAACAGAGTTCCTTGCACGTTTCACAATAAACTTCGAGTACATTTTCCTTATGTTGCTTGCAGTAAGGCTTGCTTTTTACCTTTGCCTGACCCTCGGGCATGCTCAGTTCCTGAATGGACAACACCTCGTGATTCTTCTTAGTGAACCAGTTGTCATGGGCCTCGGAGCACTTTTTGCACATGCGTATTTCGCATGACACGCAGAGATTGATGGCAGGGTTATGACAGCGCGAACATGCAGTAGACGCTTTAGCTTTTTGCTGAATTTCCATAATTTCCAGGATATTCTTTAGAAATTGATTAGTTTGCACCTCAGCGACATCTTGATCTGGCTTAAGTGTAAACTCTGAGTGACATGTTGGGCAAGGGAATATTTCGATATTCTTGTCACCTCCACGTAGACGTTTAACATACTTTCCTGAACAACAATAAAAAACACAGCATGCATCTAAAGCAGGATATTTTGTGAAAAATAGTTGAAAAAACAATATATTCTCTAAACTTGCAAAGAAAAGCATAAGAGGCATATCCTTCTTTGCCTTCAATTAGCTAATAAAATACAGAATACAAAATACATAAAATTCATTTCAGTTAGTATTTTGCTGACTGCAGGAGAAAGATTAAGCTTTAAAGAAGTCGATCTACATGGTTTAGATTTATTCTTCTTGTTAGTAAAATAATTAACTAAAATAAGTAAAATTGATACTTGATAAAATAGAGACTGGCAGGTGATTGCATGCATTGTGCATATAATATCAATTATTAGCAATATCATCCATTTTCCAGCATCTTAGTTTCAATTTACATCTTAACCAACATTGTATATTAAATTAGGTAGATGGCAAATAGATTAATTTCAAAAAACCTTTAAAATTATGTTCTAGTTTGAGGAACAGGAAGTACTATGTATTATATGGTTATAAAACAATTGGCTTAGCATGGTAAAATTACATGTATGTGGGGCATATTTGAATTTGCTCAACAAAAATAACCTTTGCACTGCATATTTGCAGTTAGCTGCACAGGTAAAGTAATACAATACTGTTGTACATAAGTTCCAATTATATAACCAGGGAGCAGCGTGGCAGGGTAACTAACTCTCATGACGAAGGCCCCCAGGTCGAAACATCGAGAAGTGTTTTGTCTATTTTAGGCAGTTGTTATACCACATTTGATGTTAATACTGTTGTACTATAAAGCAATTACATGCCATATACTTCGTTTTAAAGCAACAAAACTATTTGATAAATTCGTGCATGATGATTAATACATATTATATCTGGAACCTAGGATCCAAGCCAAAAAAGCTACATCAAATTATTGTTGATTAAGGTTGGAACTCAATATCTAATCACTTTTCTTTGGCCAATTTTGCCCAATAAAACTAACCTAGTAAAATATTTGGAGTCCCACAGCCCACCCCCCCTAGGTGTTATGCCTAACTTGCACATTAGTATTGTTGTCGATTTAAAATCGAAAGTCGAAACCATTTCTAGCACGTTGTTATAAACATGATGGAAAAAGCCAAAATTTGAGCTTAAAATTTACTATGCAGATGTACGCTTTACGTTATTCCGTCCCCTATGGTTGTACATGATTCTTAGTAAATCAAAACCAAACATGTTAACACTTAACATTACCTACCTAAACATCCTTTACAGAAATGATGAAGACAAGTCAAACTCCTTGGATCATTTAAATATCTAGAGCACAATGTGCAAGTGAGAAGATCTTTGACTTCATGATCAACAACACTTGTGCTGTCTGTCGAAGCACTTGCCATTGAAATGACAATGCTTTTTACTTTAAAATTCAGACAGCATGGGTCTTCTATGACTGTCCAACTATTAAACACGCCTTCCTATTTTGGTTCAAACGGTTTTTCTTTGTTGAATTTCATACGAATTCAAAGAAGTGCAAGTTGTGATTCTTGGAATCATGAATAATCTGATAATCATGAATCATAAAAACTGTTACCAACAGGAAACCAGAATTTCTGGTTTTCCGGTTTGGGTATTGATAATTCCATTATCCCAAAGCCTCTCTCCCAGAGCGTAGCCTACGTCTAGCCTCTGACATGACGGAGAGAGAAGTCTGTTCTAAAGCCCTAATTCCACGGGCTAAATTTTCAAGCGAAATGCGAAATATTTCGCCTGCTTCTTTTGAATTGTGAGCAATGAAGCAGAATTAATTTATTCAAGTGGTCGAAATTCAAAAGAAACAGGCGAAATATTTCGCATTTCGCCAAGAAGAAGCGCACGTGGGATTAGACCCTAATAGAATATTTTATGCATTCTTTTAAAAAGTTGTTTTGTCATTGTCATGTTGCCATCCCCCTATGAGGACAGTCATATCACAGATTAGGTCATATTTCACTGGGTCAATGGGTCATATGCAAATATTTACAGGGTTTCCACTTTGATGGAAATTTCCATATTTTATGATTTTATGGAAATTTTGATATAAAGGCAAGTGAAATGGAATTTTTTTGGAAATTCTTCATGAAAACTTATTCAATAGAACTTTCAACATTTTCTTCAGCTGACGCAATATGTTAGCGTAGAAATCACATCAGCGTCGTCTACGTATACATTGTTTCCTCATCCACATGTATCCTGTATGCGTATACAATGATCATGCGCTATCTTAACGTATACATCATACTCTCATTTATCCCCGTGATTGTGCCCAGCACGTGGTAAGACGTGAACATTGAACACGCCCCCTAATCAAAAGTTAATTCTGGGTTGTAAAGCCTTAGACTCTGTTTTACCATGGTGATAGGGAGTGTGCAAGCTCTTACAGACCTTGTTGTTAAGACTGTACTCATAACGTGATCGAAGAGTCGGAATGACCTCGACATTGCTATGACATGACTCACATGAGCGAAGAGCTCAGACATAAAGATCGAGACTTTTTGGGAAGACCAAGACATAAAGATCGAGACTTTTTGGGATTGCGATTACAATTTACTTTGTTAAGTTTGTTTCTGTTTCATCTTGGAGGGTTGGAATTTTATATTTAATTAAGCAATACTAATGCCTAATGGCCACAAACTTTGAAACTTTTAGAAACTTTTAAAATATAATACAAAGTTGTAAGTTATGTGCTGCAATCTCTGCCGCATTCTGTGTTTCTTTAATTACCGGTTTTAATACTGTAGTTCAATATACGCCACTAGAAATGGTGGTCGCAGTGGAAGGCTATAAATGGTCAAATTCTGGTCCTATGTAAAGTTTGCAGCATGTTTGGCGCTCATATAAAAACGTTAAACAATATAACCATGCTTTGGTTATGATCACGCTGTTTTAAAGATCAAATGCTTGTCCTATGTAAAGTTGCAAGCATGTTTCGTGCCCACATACGAACATTGACAATATAACCATGCTTTGGTTATATTGTTAATCTGCACGCTGTTTTAATGGTCAAATGCTTGTCCTATCAGTCTTAGTCCAGTGGTGAAGAGTGAAGACAATGGTCTCGTAACTTTTAAGTCGGTGACTCGAATGAGACGAATATATTTTCATTATGACTCTGAAAAGGCATTTAGGTAAAAACAAATAAATGTATTAGATAACATGAAGAATAAATACCCTGTGACTTACCCCTTGCAAACACTGAACTTTAAACTATCATAATATTCTTGTAGATTACATAACAATAAAACATTTTGACTACTCTAGCGTCCATCAAAAATCAAAATTCGCGTCGCGTTGCCGCATCGCGTCCGGTCTGTGTCGGCCTTTACGTCTCCCTGCAAATTTTAAGGCGGGCGAAATGTATGTCTGTTTCAGGTTAAGATTACTTCATGAATTCTCGAAAAATCCCTGAGGAGCTCAGGGAATGTCCCCATGGTTCTGGAGATATCACTATGCAAAGTGAAAAGTAATTGGGATAAACATGCATCAGAGGATATTTAGTGTAGATAGAAAATTGAGCGTAATCTATGTACTTAATATCTAAATTTCTACAGTATTTGTAGTTTATGTTGCAGTTTACGTTTGTCGTAGGGGGAAACCCTTTGAAGCCGAACTAGGGAATGTCCCACAGGATCAGGTAATAATCACCTACGCATTGTTTCAAATGCGGTTTCTATGATCACGCCGCAGATACAAAATTTTGTCTCATTGAAATGCTCATTTTTATTGTTGCAACGCAAAATAATTCATCCCTTAAAATTTGATCAATATACTAACCAAATGATATTATGCTAAGGCTGACTTATCGTTATCTTACACAAATTTGGAGTCAATGTCGACAGATATTTTTTCAACACCAATCTCAATAATATTAATATCCCAGCTTGCAAAAAACAACTTCCTTAACTTAACAGGTGCTAATGACTATATATGCCTTTATATGGTCATGAACTAGAATGTAAATTTCTAGAGCACAATGTGCAAGCGAGACGATCCTTGACTTCATCAACACTACTACTACGGTCTGTCGAAGCACTTGCCATTTACAGTAAAAAACAAGGGTATTGGGTTTGTTCTTGGCGCTAATCTAAAGAAAACCAAATTCCCTTTTAGTTAGCTATATACTGCGGCTTATAGAACCCAGAAGATGCGATTTGAATTCTATTTCGACTTCGTATAATGAGACCTTGTCGTGCATGCCATATGAGGTTGTGTATTGTTTACTTTAGTTTTCGGGAAATCCCTGGGAGCTCAGGGGTGTCCCTTTGGTTCTGGGAATATCACTATCCAACGTGGGAAGTAATTGATATAAACATCAGAAGATATTTAGTATCTATTAAAAGAATCGAACGGAACTTATCTACTTAATATCTAAATTTCTACAGTATTTGTAGTGTTATATTATAGTTGATGTTTGTGGTAGGGGGAAACCCTTTAAAGTCGAACTAGGGAAGTTCCCTCTGGAACAGGCAATAAAAATCAATTATCTATATAACTACGCCCTCACTGAGATAAATCCAAATACGGATAAACTAAATGTACATATTCAAAACAAAGTCAATACTGTTTCGTGCTTCAAAACATGCGTCAAGCGAGGTGTTCAACCTGGGCCCCCCAAAAAGTGACGTGCCCCAGAGTCGGTGACTGAACGCAGCCCAAGTTTTGTTTATAACTTTAAGCACAGCTCATTTCTTATTCATATGAATAAAGATCACGTGATTCTGATATATAACAAAAATGATTGCGCCGAAATTCATTCATTTTCTTACTGCTACTCAAAGAGATAAGATTAAAGAAGTATTGAACCATTTGAAGTTAAAGCGATTACCTTTTAACGCGAATTTTTGAAGTTGAGGTTTGTAATGTTTATATGTAAGGTTTTTTGCTGTGAAACTTTATTATATTCTATGCATTGTGACGGGGATCTTACAGCAAGATACAGTAACAATTTAGACCATAATGTTGTGTTTAGTTTGCACCTTTTCGCTAAGATGCTAAATTGCATGCATTATGAGCCAATATACAATGAACAACATTAGCCACTTAAAAATTACTCCTTGTTTTTTATCACCACTCCACTGGGCGGGTTTAGATTAACTAACCAAATGTTATCATTCTGAGCTTGAGGTTAATTGACACAATTCGGAATTCAATTCTATGTGAAATAAGTATCTCTTTAGGGATTTCCCCCCTTCTATAGGGAATTTCCCCTATTCTTTGGAGTTTGATCCCCTAAACTATTTAAACCTCGTATATTTGTGGTATACTTGCACAGCAGTGGAAATTTTTTTTGCACATATAGTTTTTGTTTTTTGTTTAGTTTTTTTATTTGTTTAATTTTATATTCCGGTATACATTGATACAGTGGCCTCTTAGCGTCAGTTCTGGTCCATAGCAATGGGAAATTAGCAGTCAATGTACCTGTGTATTTCAACACCACGTATTAACGTCTGCACACGCGTTAAATTAAGAAAAAATATGACGTCTTTTATCACTTTCTTCGCATTGTATGGAAATTTGTTTGTGAATAAGCAATTAAGGCTTGTATAGATTATGAAGAACGTGCAAGTTCGAAACTAGATTTCAGCGGGCTACTACAAGGAGCTAGTTGTGGAACTGTGAACATCAACATTAATATCAGTAAATAAATCACTGTCTTTATGATACAATTGTGTGAAATGTTTAGTCAAAAGTGAATATTAATCAGTAGGGTAATTAACACTTTATCTTAGTGTCATTAACATTGTAGTGCAATCATTTTCTTTGTTGTGTAAAACGTATTAAGAAAACTCCTTGTCGTGTCTTCGAATTTTGGCTCATGAATTTTAATCAGGGATAAATTAGAAATCTGCCGGGAGATTTAGAGTTCTGCCCGCTAAAGCCGAGAATAGGGAGGTTAAGATCTACTTCCACTACCAGTACCGATACGAAAATACATGACGTATTACAGCTAGTTTGGCAGGGCGGAAATTTTAAAGCGTTAAGATTGTGACTTCCGTAAGAAGTAAATAAACATGGCGGAATATAGCGGCTGTATTCACATCAAAAACTCTAATCACAATCCTTAAGTCTCACCAAACAAAGCAGAAACATTATACAACTAAAAACTAAATAATATTATTTGAAAACTACTGCAGAAAATGACAATAATACAGTAAATATAATTCGGTACTTCGCCTACCTATCCACTTCCAATTTCAGCCCCAAAACGGTACTCGCTACTTCCAGTGTTGTCAAATTTTGGACGATTGTTACGTTTGCGCATGCGCATGACTGATTATTGGTATCGGTACTCGTAGTGGAAGTCGATCTTGACCTCCCTAATATCGCAATTAAACCACCCGGTGAGAACAAAAGAACCCGAGGTGATCATGGTATTAATGATGTTAAACCATAGGAACCCCAATAAATATTGTTGAAAGAAAAAGTAAATAGTCCAGTTACGTTGCGAGTTCAGTGACTTCAGTGATCGCGAAGCATAAACATACATACGAAGTTTACTCGCAAAATTTCATATCAAAACAACGAGAATCCCTCAAATAAATTATCACAAATACATTTTAGATACTCCAACAACATTATTCCATTAAAAATATTTTAAAAAACAAATGAAAATGCACAAAAAATGTACAAAACTTTTGCCTATTTGCCGAAAAATATCGTGGGACCATGCGAGACATAAAATGCGGTTTGAGGAACGAATCTGATTGGTCAAAAAAATAAACAAACGACGTGTGCTTGTCAAGCATACGGGGGGTAAATTTAAAGTTTAAAGCAAATTGAAAAACCGGTTTAACCTTTGCAGTCTTCTTAAAATTCTAGCCCATTTGCGTTTAAAACGTTCGCATAGAAATGGTATGTATAAATTTTCAACAGGTATTTATACAAACTTTAATTTTTTTGTGTCTTCACGTTTTTTTTCAACCTGCTTTAAACTTTAACTTTACCCCCCGTATGCTTGACAAGCACACGTCGTTTGTTTATTTTTTTGACCAATCAGATTCGTTCCTCAAACCGCATTTTATGTCTCGCATGGTCCCACGATATTTTTCGGCAAATAAGCAAAAGTTTTGTACATTTTTTGTGCATTTTCATTTGTTTTTTAAAATATTTTTAATGGAATAATGTTGTTGGGGTATCTTAAATGTATTTGTGATAATTTATTTGAGGGATTCTCGTTATTTTGATATGAAATTTTGCGAGTGAAATTCGTATGTATGTTTATATTATTACAAGAGTTTCCATCCTTCTCAATAACTATATATTTATATGCTTTGCGATCACTGATGTCACTGAACTCGCAACGTAACTGGACTATTTACTTTTTATTCAACAATATTTATTGGGGTTCCTATGGTTAAACCGAAATTTTTGTTAAACCGAAATCAACACATTCCGAACGCAGATCACTAATCTGTGATTACCACTAGTAATTTAAAGTTTAATTGCCGACAACTTGCGCGACAGACTACGTTTTTTAGTTGTCGATAACTTTTAGTTGTCGATCACAAATAGTTGTTGACAACTAAATCCCTAGCCTGCGCTGCAGACCCATGCCCGAAATAGAAAGGCGGGGAAAAAGAGGGTCTGCGTATCAGAGCCGAATTTCGTGTACTGTAATTACTCCGCCTGCGTATGCGCGGCGGAGTCTTAAAATGCCATGGTCTTTTTTCCTTTTCGTCGTAGTCGTAGTTTTGGGCGACAGAAGTTGGCATTTCTACAGGTAACCCAAAATATTTTGACCGAGAAGCCCTGGGTTACACGGATTAATTATGTACATCAGTTGGCATTTAGGGAGGTTTTGGGGTGATTTTGTGCAATGTTTATTTTTCTTCGAGTCCTTGTGCCTCGTGTTTGAATCGACGTTCTTTCCTTGTGAAAAATTGAAAAATATGAATGTCGAATTGAAAGAGCTTTCAGAACCATGTTCAACAACTACAAAGGTAAGTTGTTAAGATTTAGATCGTATTCATATGCTGTGGCGGTAATTGCATATTAGTAAACCCAAGATTTTTTGTTTTATAGTTGATTTAGTTCTTCACATTGACGTAGTGTTTTAATACAAACTAGGTATATACAAAGTACTGTTTGTTCTCAGGAATTATACATACTACAAGTTTAGCGACACTGCATGTTTAAGAATTCGATATTTCTATTTACTAGAGTCTATTTTAAATGTATAAATGATTATAAAGCCTGGTCGAATTGTAATCAGGACCCAACATTTTGACAATCCAGTCTTTGGCAGGTGACATCATCCCTTGGGTATCTAAGAAGCTTTGATTCCAGCTTTAGATCACCCCTGATGAAAACAGTAGACTGGACTGTCGAAACATTAGGTCCTGATTACAATTTGACCAGGCTTTGTGATCATTTATATAAACCAGAGTAGCGAGCGATAACAGGGTTAAAAGGGGGTATTAAAACTGTTCCTATTACAGGATTGATTTGCCAAACTTATAAAACTTTATTTTTGATTTTTGTTCTAATTTACAGGTTTTGGTGCTCATTTGCAGGAAGTTGCAAAAAAAAATTAATGTCCCTGAGTGTGAATTCCATGAATGCACATTTGAATACCAAGTCACATTTAAATACCAAGTCACATTTGAACTTTAGATGCCAACTTACCTTTGAATGCCAACAATGAAGTTACAATGAATAAAGTTATATTAGTTAATGAAGTTACATCAGTAAACAAAGTTAAGCAACTGAATGAAGTTATATCATTAAATAAAGTTACATCAATGAATAAAGATGCATTAATAAATAATTTCATATTAATGAATACAAAATGTATAACAAAAAATCCCAAAAGTATGACAGACAACAGTTTGACAGGCAACAGTACAAAAAGCACCTCATTTTATAACCTGTAGTGTTTTCTCACCTGCAGGCGGAGTAACGCCTTGAGCAGGCGTCTTGTTTATGCAAAATGTGACGTAAATTGAAATTAGTAATTAATTTTCGCATTTTATGCACGAAACATTTATGATCAAATTTCACAATTCACATGTTCGTCGATCTTCCTTTGAGTCTGCAACAAAAACTTTATCGTCTTTTTGATCTTCATTAACAATTTGCAATGTAAATGCCAATGTCGAGTACTCACGAGTGTATCCTTTGTAAAGAGATTATCGGGAGAGCGAAGGACAAATACCTAGTTCAAGGACGGAGCAAAGAAGACTTTGTGTTTGAGCTTAACAGCTTGCCGTTTGTCGTTGACTCCCACGAAAAATATTTTTATTATTCCACTCTAAACCAATCAAAGCTTTGTTGATCGTGAGTAGCCAATCAGGCTTCGTAATAAAATATGTAGCCAATCACACAGCGTCCCCCAGATTCTGGGGATAAATAATTATAGAACACGGAATTTGGCGCTGTTACATAGACGTTATTTCTGCCATATTCCGTCTATGCGTAGACTACTAAATCCCTAGTCTGTGGAGGCCTTTAGTTTTTAATGGAAGTAAATACTGATTCAATGCATAAGTTGCAGATTCAGTCATTAACAAAATGTATAAGAGTATTTTTAAACTTTGGCTTATCCACCGTTTAGGCTGAACGCCTTTCGACTGAACAACCGGCCCCAGAGAGCCTTTGTTTGGCCACGGTGGGAATCGAACCTACGATCTTTCGTTTGCTAGTCCAATGCTCTTTCAACCGATCAGCTACTAGGTCAAGGCAGTTCGAGTAGTTGATATTTCGAAGCTGAATTAATCTAGTCCCTTCTGTATCTGTGCGTCTTAAAGTGATAGTAATGGTGCATAAGACTCTAATATAATTTCATACACACCTGAGCCTTATATGCACTATTATTATTTCTTGCGCTTTTGTGCGGTAATAAATAGTCCTCAGAATAATCCCTGGATAAAACTTCTTGAACATTCTGGCCGCATTTATTCTTAGTTTCTATAGAATGCGATGTTTGTTCATGCGTTTTGAAGACACACAAAGAGTTCACTCCTTTCCACCGCCATTTTGAGCCTTCGGAAACGTTCGGAAAAAAGCTTTCCGATATCAATTAATTAAAGGCAGAGTTGACGTTTATCGGGGGATTTTGTGCGCTTACAGCATTTGCTTTTTATTGGTATAGGACAGAAAATTACTTTGTCAAAAACAAACATGGCGCAACAGGAAATGCCGAGAGAATTTAGGCAAGATGAACAATATGAAAATGATATGGAAAATGTTGAAGATTTTCAAATGGTGCAGCGTAGGGTTGTCGCATGCCTACAGACACGTCAACGAACTATTAAAGTCTTCAGAAGTATTGCTAAAGAGGCTGATACCATTCAAAAGGGCTGTTTTGAGACAAACCGGGATGCGAATATAACTTCAGCAATTGGAGGGGTGTTTGGAGTTTTAGCCGGTGGTATAACACTTCTCACAGGTGGCACTGCAGCGCCATTCGTAATCGGTACATGTGCTGGAGGAATTTGTTCTTTAAGCGGTAGTTACTCGATTATAATGAATGAAAAAGAGCGAGTTAAGCGCATGAGCGATTTGGAAACGAGGTTAACGAACCAAATAACCGAAGACAATAAAGCAGTAGAAGATTTTAAGGCCATTACTTGTAGGATACGAAATGGCGATTATGGAAACCCTTTCCGTATATTTCGCGATTTACACGTGACCGCTGTTTCTTTGGGTATCGCTCTGATTGTATATGACGTGGGATTTGCACTTCCGCCAATATTTTCTTTTCTTGGAACGGTAATGCAAGACATTCTCTTACAGTTGATGCCAAAGATATTTGGTGCGGCATTTGGAAGTACTGGGCAGGAAGCCGCAAAAACGGCGGTTAAAGCAATTTCAGAGAAAATAACAAAAGAAGGAGCAAAGAAATCAGTAAAAAAAAATAGCAGAGGAAACAGCTACGACAGTTGCTAAGGAAGGAATAAAAACAGCAGCAAAGAGGACAGTGGGTTTTGGTCTCCTTACGTGCGCGTGGGAAGGATATAACGCGCGCCAGAATCACAACGCCTCAAAAGAAGAATCACAACTTGGCAAAGAGCTGCGTGAACTAGCAAACGATATGGAAAATAACGGTAAGGACTCGTATACATAACGGTAAGGACTCGTATACACTTCCTATCTACATACATGATCTCATTAAAGTTCAATATAACAAAACAGTTTTTTCTATCACAAAACAGTCGCAGTCAGAGAACGACAGCTAGAAGTTCGATTTATGCTGTTGCCAAGGATGCATATCAAAAACATAATTATTTCACATACATTCCTCTACTTTCATTTATAGAGAGAGAACAGCGGTAAAGGAAGGTGGTGAACGTGCTGAATAAAAGTTGATTCGAAAGTTGTTTAAAACACACTTAAGTTTAAATCTCAGTTTGAACTTAGTGGGCAAGTTCTGAATCAAAATTGAAATTGGATTTGTATCGAGTTATTTAAAATGAAAAAAAAGAGAATTCTGACTACCGCGCAAAAGACTGGGGCGAAACTGTGTGCTGATGTCACAATATAGAAACTCATCTGAGGCGACATTTTAGCAAACAGCGCAAAAGTGGTTACTCTCACTAATTTATCATAAGCACATCTAAGTGGGCACAATTTTTGAAAAATATAGCTAAAGAATGTAATAACAAGGTGGCGTTCTGGGTTATATACGCGCGATTTGATGTTTTGTTTGCGATAGAAGGAGAACCTAAAACCCTGGGTACGAGGTTGAGAACCTAAGAGAAGCGTTACATTTCCCAATTGTTATCGCGATAATTCTCACATGGTTTCCTCGTTGTGTAAGTGTTTGTCGAACTAAAGTAATTTCTTGGGAAGCGTTTGGGGACACTTATATGCAATGGAAAGAAACCAAGAGAAGAAAAACAGACAAGCGTGGTTCAATTACACACTACTACATAAGTTACACGTTTTAGAAATACCCGAACTTAATAGTACGCGCAACAGGAAAACCTTAAACAAAATGGTATTGATATAACGTATAAAAATACAGTGCAAATGTCAAGGTGAATTGTATGTGCGTAATTACAAACGACGACCGATATAGACAAAGCTTTAGAAAACAAAGTTCCAACAACATTTCGGAGTCTGGTAACATCTCTAAACTTGATAAATACATATTTCTGCTAAATTTAATCACAGATTGTAGCCTGCAAAGCATAATTCCGCTTCTCTTGCACTCTACAGGGTGTCCCAAAAAACGAAAACTATTGAAATCACCCATAACAATGTAATTGTTAGAGTTTGAATGCCCAAGCACTCTGTTGGGATCCACAAGTGTGTAAATGTTTGCCATAAGCATTTTTATGCATGCATATGATGCAGTAAAATTTGCCCGTACACGAAAATGATATTTATTAACAATATTTAAATGTGCATCTCAATCACCATGACCTTTGACATGTCCCCTTTCTCTAGCAACACAAAGTCAAAGCATCTAGCATTTCAGTGAGTTGCATTAAATCCCCACGGGTTAAAATTCGTGCACACGGCATTCAAATTTTAACAATGAGTGATTTCAATAGTTTTCGTTTTTTTTGGGACACCCTGTATACTATATTTATTTATTGGGCACAATATACAGGTTTCTATTGTGACGTATTAATCACCAGTTTTCTTCTGTTGAGCAAAAAATTTTTATTTTATTTATTTACTTATTTTATTTATACTCTTCGCATGTTTGGCTAGCCCCACAGAGTTTTAACACCAGTTATGGGGTCCCTTGCTTACAATACAGTTATACTAAATAGTAATAAGAATATTTACGTGAACATTAGTGGTGGACATTATTACAAAATATTATACAATACAAGGCTGTTTCACAATTGCCGTTAAAATTAGAAATTTTAAGGCTCATTACTCTTCGAAAATAAGCTAAATTCAAAAACTGATTTTGATTTTCGTAATCTGCGTTTCATGATGATTATAATGATAACTATATAAAGTCGCATTGAATGACATGAGCAATAATACTGATTCAAAATTGCATTGTAGCCAATAGATTTTGTGTATCAATATGAACTACCGATAGCGTGTTATATTACTTATATATATTGAAGCCATCAACGCACATCACGATTGTTGTTAATTTACACTAGCTATATATAATACCACGGGAGGAAATAATGAGTTTTGTTTTCCTACAAGTCTATTGAATATGGTATTAAATATTTGTTATACAAAAAATACCCCCTAATGAAATGAAGCTTCTAAATGCATGATTAATGCACTGGGGCCGGTTGTATGAAAGCCAGATAGCGCTATCCACCGGATAGTGATTTTTCGTCCGTTCTAAAAATGCTGGAAAAGCGATAAAATTTCATTTTTGGAACCAGCAATTATTAAAGAGGATACTCGATTTAGAAATACTAAGATTTAATCAAAGTTATAGCAAACAACGGGCGATTCTTAAGCGATTGAAAAAACTACTATCCGGTGGATAGCGCTATCCGGCTTTCATACAACCGGCCCTGGTAAATAGTATAGTACCATTACGTTAAGGCATTGCCTCGTGAAATATCGACAGGTCTCGGGTCCACAAAACATAATATCTACTGAGTTCTCGGTGAATAAGTTTTTATTATATACCACTTGTCAAAGAAAAACCAAAATACAAGGTAAAAAACGAAATATCTATTCATAAAAGACATTTCAAATTGATAAACACTTAACAGTCTAAAGGTCGCATGTCCAGGTGCGCCGCACGTAATTAAAGTTGTTATTTTCCATGGGATAACACGTTATCAAACTCTGCAGGGGGTCGCGCTGGCGACACCAAGCAGACGACGTCATTCTCGCATGATTCGCTCTCGACCAATGAAACGCTACGGCAATATCTTGTCCCCTTAGTTCTGGGAATATCACTATGAGTATGTGGCTAATAAAATACCGAAATATTATGTTTGTATTTCGGTGGTATAGTCATAGACCACCGACGGAGGTCTATTCGCCAGTGACACGTCTGAGAATGTAGTATATACATTGTCGTGACTGTGTATATACAACATGTAATTGGGTAGACAATATTCTTCATATAGAAGTAGATTCAACATGTACGTTTCAGTTGAAAACTTCAATTTCGGTTGTATGGAAAAATGGCTGACCAGCAAGGAGGTTCATTGCTTCTTCACTGCTGGCATAGACATAACCAGCTGGCAGTTGATATGTGTGCCCAAAATTTCCGGCGGATGACTGATTAAGTTGAGGTTTGTCGTGGATGAACAAATCATGACCTCCACCAAAGACTGGTCCATAAGCTCGGGAACAGTAGATTGCATACCGCTCCTGACCTTGTTTGATGTTGGCAATAAATGGGGCAAGGTTGTCTTTGTTTCGTAAGGAGAAAAGAAACGAGGAGGTGGATTGACAGTATCTATTGCCTTAAATTGATGACAAAATAAACAAGTTTCGTTATATCTCATTCAAAAAGCCCATGATACAAAGTAAAAGTGGAACAAGTCATAATATAAAGGCCACCATGCATGACCATCTTTTGTATTTGAATCCGTTGTGTCTCAACTCAACTAACACAAACATAAAATAATAAAAGTATTATACTTATAAGAGCACAAATACTTCTTTTGATTTTCAATAGCAATATCTTTCAATTTATAGAGTTAGTTTTTATGGCTGCAAGCTAATTTATGTTAAATGTACAATTGCACACTTACTATAGCGGGAACTTGTTTAAATAAGGAAGACAATTTAAGATAAATTCAATATTGCGGTATCGGCTGTGATGCAAAACGATGGACAGGTAGCAGCGAGATTTGTGTAGTTGGAACGAGAAGGGCCTGTACCTTACGTTTATTTTATATCTTATTGTATTGTACTAGAAATACATTGCATGCAAAGTCCCCTCGCCTGAAGCAATAAACATATATTTCCATCACTGAAATTCTATAATACTCGTTTCTGCTGAATGATCGAAGTCGTAAAGTAAACTCCTATATCTTGGTACAATTTATAAAGTTGACTCTCGAGCTATCAAATTCGACTATAATCATAATTGTGCTACGAATTGCTTTAAATACTACAATTTTTAGCGAAATTTCAATTACTATTTAAACAAATTCACCTTTAAAAAAAAATACTTTCCAAATCAAAATCATTTCAACGAGATTGACGAATAAATTCAAAGAGGTGTCATACATTTGTTGATAAATCAACATAAAACAATATACTTGTATGCTTTAAAATACAAAATCTGCCCATTTACCTGTTCAAAAACACTTTAAAAATGCTTCAAAATCGTAGATTTTTTACCATCCATTTAAGTTAAAATTTTTCTATCCAAAGGCATCTTTTACATTATATTTTAATCAATTTTACGATTCAATTTTTCGTATATTTTTAAGACTATCCAAATGAAAAATATTATTTAAAAAAAGTTTTATAATTCAAAATATCAGTTATGCTGACGTGACCCAAATTTCAATTTAGCCAATCGCACGTTTGTAAATGTTTGCTAGTTACCAGTTTTAACTCGTCTTATACTCACGCATGCGCATAACTTACAAAAACGCCCAACGTCCATGGCATAATGGCGGACAACTTTCATTTCGCATTTGCATTCCCGGGCGTAATTAAAATCTCCGGGCGGAATTAGTACCCTCGCCCGGTGCTTCGCACCGGCTCGGGGACAATCAGTATAAACCAGGTCCAATCTGATTTCCTCCTATCCGTCATACCTGTTATACCTAGCCAGTTTTGGTCAGTGTATCCACCAAAAATGAAGTTATTTGCTTTCACCAAAACCACTGTTGGTCCTTTATTGTCACAATGTCTGTGAAAATCCTGGGCACTCCAACCATCTTTTGAAGCACGGTAACAAAGATTCCATTTACATTTCTCGCCCAACCATTGCTGAAGTTGCTTCGTTAATGATATCTCTCCACTCAGAATATTGGATGAAGCTCTTAGATTCGGATTGAGAGAAACTGGATCAGCTGCACGATATTAAATAAATTTGTTTTTAAAACTTCCAAACAATTCAAACAAAATCTTTTCACATAGGGTGGGAAACAGATGATTGTAGAAGGTTCCTATTTGCATCCTCACAATTTTCAAATTCCTCCTATATGTACATCACACTTCATATGTTGTAATATATGTTAAACTACGGGCGATGTCAATGCATTCAGACATTCTCTAACGTTGAACATTTAACAGGGCAGGGGATGAATTTAAAAGAGTGGGGCAGGGAAATGTATCGATATTCTTATCATCAATACGGAGAGTTTCAATTACAAACTTCACTTAAAAATCGCAGAAAATAATGAAACAAAAAATAAAATAAGACTCTATCGTGTCATTCACAACGGGTGGATAAAAATTGCATCCAAGTCAACAAGGAAATCAATCTTTATCAAGACCGAACTGCGGTAGTTGTATTTGGAAATTGAAAATACACACAATTTTAAGAAAATGATTGTAAATACCTTCTATGTGTCCCATTATACTAACTAGTTCATCAACATTGATGTCACCAATATCACCAGGTACAAACCGAATGCCACCATGATTTAAAGGCGTCATATCCTTTGGTTGTTCACTAATCAGCTTCTCAATATTTTCATCAATCTCTTTTTGCAATGAGAGAATTTCTTCAACACTTCCTCTTTTTAAAAGATTTCTTGGCAAGGAAACTGAAGCTTGTACTTTATCAAGAAAATCTTTAATTCCATCGTGTTGCTCGCTCAGTTCACTGTACAATTCTTTATAAAACTTGTCCACTTCTTCGTTCATTTTCTTCGCTCTTTCACAGAGTTCATCCGTTATAATCTTCAAAATCTTTTGTTTCTGCTCTTCGATTTGGTCTTTGGCAGACTCAGCAATCTTTTTGAGAGCCTTCATCACCTCACAGACGTTTTTTAACGCGCCCTTCCCTTCCGATACTTTTTCATCAAGGATCGTGGAGCTTGACTGCAAGGTTTCTCTTTGTTTTTGTGCATCACCGCTCACTGCCATACACGAATGCTCTGGTTTCTGGTGATTTAACACGACACAGTGGATACAACAAAGTTCCCTGCATGTTTCACAATAATATTTGAGCATTTCTCCTTCGTGCTTCATGCAGTAAAGCTTTCTCTTTATTCTAACTTCGCTTTCGGAATTGATCAGTTCTTGCATGGACAAAACATCGTGGCTTGACTGTTTCATTGGCACCAGCCAACTGTCGTGAGAATCCGAACATTTCTTGCATAAAAAAACCTCACATGTCGCGCAGTGATTGATGGCAGGTTCTTGGCAACGTGAACATGCGGCTGACGCTTTCGCCTTTTGTTGAATCGTCAAATTTTCCAACATGTTTTTAATAAAACAATTGCTCGCCATTCCACTGATATCCTTGCTTGTTTTGAGCATGAACTCTGAGCGACATCTGGGACATGGAAATATCTCGATGTTCTGATCCTCACCACGGAGGCGTTCAACATACCTCACTAAATAACAAATCAAGATAGATGTAAGATTTAATTTTGACTTATCCAATGTTTAAGCTAAACGGGCTCGATACAACCGGCCCTAGAGGCTCTTATCACAACTGCAATGTATTATTATTCCAAAGTCCAGGCAGAATAAATAATTTACCATAGCTTATTTCAAGCAAAATATTTGGCTAACAACGTCGAGCGGACCGCGTCGTATATTTTAGATCGAAGGCGCGCTTGCAAAACAAAACAAAAAACACCATACGTGAGAGATATGAAACAACTACAGCGTGAGATTTGTGTCAAAACGCAAGTGGAAGGCGATATCAGAAATTCTTAGCACAAATGAAAACTAAGTAATATCTTAATGCAACGACAATTTAAAGTACGTATATTTAGTATATACCCTTACCCTTAAACCTACCGGGCCGGGCAAGAGGGCCCGGGGCAGGAGGATATAGCCTTTCTTTGATATAAATGTTCGTGTGTGCGGGGGGGAGGGGTGTGCGGGGGGGGGTAATTAGCACTCCCAAAAGCACATAAAGAATTGTCATACATTTTGGCCATCATCAGAACACATTTTAACACTCGCTACGCTGAAGCTAAAACGAGTTCAGGCCAAAAACTGAAAACACATTTATCCCTGCGAACATCAACTCTACTGTTTATATTACCCTATAAATGTTAATTAGGTTGTAAGCAGCGTGTTCACCTAAGCATATCAAATACTAATTTATCAGTCACACTAAAAATTAATCAAGGCTTAGTTTCCAATACCGCGCTCAGGAGATTCAGCATTGCACTCGGTCAAACAAACATGTAACCGCACAAAGCATATAAACATTTCAATACCTAGACATCCTCTGCAGAAACTATGAACACAAGTCAGGCTTCGTGGGTCATGTAAAATATTTGAGCACAACGAACAAGTGAGAAGATCTTTAATTTCGTCTACATCTGAACCATCGGATGAGGCACTTGCCATTTCTGTTTTATTTCACAACTTGGAAGAAATCCAGTCTTCTTTTGAATCGAATCACGTAAGTAACTCTTGCCAGTTGTTATCAGTCGCCAAATGCCTGCTTCAAAATTACGCCGGAAGTATAATTCTAGAACTTGAATAACCGGTCGGCGTTAGATCCTATCGAACTAACGTACATGACGTCATAAATTTTGCAATAACAGAAGTATAATAACAGAAGTCTTACATGAAGTCTTGCTAGAGCTGGTTCATAAAAATGATAAAATAAAAATGGCGATGAATGATGATACATTTATACATTTATAAATGTACACGAAAGTGTAAATGTCTGTTACCCTCATACCCAGTATAGTAGTGATCATATACTTATGTAATAGTATCTCTGGCTTTACCTTAATTACGGTTAGGGTTAGGGTTATTGAAAATTTTATGACGTCATGTACGTTAGTTCGATATGATCTAACGCCGACCCGAATTAACCTTGACTATTTTTAGTAGCTAACCCGCGATAAGGCTGTGGACGTGAAATAAGTCAAATAACAAGCGAAAAACAACTGGGGGAATACAAAAACAAAATATGACAATCAAAGCGGCAAGAAAAAACAGGTTGTGGTATACTTACATTCCTGCTCGTGCGTCAAGTCCTACGAATGTTTTGTTCATTGTTGAGGTGTAGTGTAGAACTCGTATCTGGTATGTCCTTAAGGTCTGTTCACACGATCCGATTTTGTTGGATCCAATTCGCTTCTGATGGATGTTTTATAGTCTGTTGTGTTGTAATGTATATGAGCAGCAAATCGACTGAAGCCAATGCAATACTGCTTCATAAATAACCGACTATGTAACCGAACACGTGACAAGATCTTTGATTGCGTCAACCGGATTACTAGCAAACCTAAACCGCTTCTGATGCGCTCTCCAAAATTATGAAAATTTTCTATGAAATATCAAAGGCCAGTGAACTAAAACGACAACTCGGCCGTCACCTTTGAAGCCAATTAGAAGTAAGAATCGGGTTATGTCGGCACGGTTGAAAACCGCGCCGACAAAAACAATAAAAATGGACTGGCACTAGTACTAAATTGCGGCCAAAGACCCAAGTTATTATTCATCACAAAACATACAAGCATGTCGAGACCATAAATCAGTAATAAAATGTACTCCCTTTGCCTCTGGCAATCCGGATTCCCTCGGATTTATTTTCATATCACCCTCAAAGGCTGTTTTTCAATGCGTTTTCAATGTTTCAATGCGCTTTAATTGTCCGCGCTTTTGAATATATGCATGCTAATGCGGGCGAAAGCGCGCTTCGCAAGCGCGGGCCGAATGGACGTTGATGGAAAATTGCCTTAAAGTACCGTAATATTTGTTTCACGTCTCGTCCGACATTCCTGTGGCGTAGTGTAAACAGTAGCCGAACCTGGTACGAATATTTACATAATATTCGATGTAATCCTGTATAGTTTAAACAAGATCTTCGTTTACTTAATTTACGACCCAATTATTTATAAATTTTGTAATGTTTATTTTAGTCGCAGGTCCAGAGTTTCAAAATATTTGTTGTGACATTCCCAGCTTGAACTTGGTAGTAATTCCATGTCCCCAATCCTCGGATATAATCCTAATTTTATACCTAAACCTGACCTTACCTTTATCCAACCACCAACCTTAAAGGTAATATTTAGGATATAATTGTTAACTCGAAGTTAATTCTGATGATTCGCAGTGATCAATGCTTGTACAGGCCGTAATCATAAGTTTTAAACGGCCAGCTAATTAAATTATTTTTTAAGGATCATCCGGGAAACGAATGCCTAATTTTGGAACATTTTTTTAAAGGAAAATCGAGGACACAACAAACGCAAAACGCGAAACCCAATAATTCCAATAATATCATCCCATTAGCGTGATGTTACCATTGTCACTACCCAGGAGATAACCTCTATTTAGTGGCCACGGCATGGCTAAAATAGGTACCCGTGCCCATTTCATCCATGCTCGCCTTTGCATTGGTAGCCTGAACACTAATAAAATTAGGCACGGGTAACCATTTTAGCCGTGCCGTGGTAATACATTGACTGTAGTGTAAACGGGGCTATATAGACAGCTTACTCTTTTATTGTTTAGTTAAATAATAACAAAAAATCAGCGACCTTGCACTGTGTGCAAATGGTACAAAACGTTTGCTGTTTACAACTGAACTCACCGGTGACAGTGGGAAGTGAACAGAGCGAAACAGCATCGTTTCCCCACAACTCCATCTTTTGTGTCGATGATGATGTTACATAACTTGAATTCGGGTTTAACCTATTCAGATAACACGCAAGAACACATGCAATAAATAAGCTTCCTTGAATATGCAATTTCTGAAACAAACACCGTTCTTTTTTAAATAAATGCTTTGTATTCTGGAATTTAATATTGGGTACGCACATGTAACTATGCAGGTGCGGATAATTGATAGATCAGTGTTAATCCTAAATGGGCCAAATCTGTTTAATGTAATATATTTTTACACAACAGTTGCATTTTTTGTAGTGTGCTCTTGGTGACAATCATGGAGATTAATTCGTAGATTTTTTCTCAGATTCGTAGATTCGTTTTTCAAATGTCTCCCTAGCCTTTTTAACAATGTTGCTATGCGCGTGAAATTACAGTTCAAAGATTTTTATATGCATATGATTAGTGTGTGGGGGGAAGTTGAATTATATACCAGACAGTGGCGAAGGTTAAAGTATTAAACAATTACTGGTAAAGTTTACATGCTTTAGACTTAGCGAAAGCTCTACGTCGACCATTGTACGCCAAACAATGGTATCAACGAGGCCTTTGACGGAATTAGATGCTCCAAAATCTCGATATTGCACCACATGGCGTGTACATCAGTCTGGTCGTACCTGGATAATTTCAGCCTCGTGTGCTTTCCATTGCCTGGTCAAAGCTCTAATTGACGAAATCTTGTTATGGAGTGACATAAGAAGCTTAGTTATAGTTATTGCTTGGTGCTGTTGCATAAAACGTGAGAAATATAAGCAGAACTTTGACACTTCGAACTGAGTCCACACTTTCAGGAAGTCTGTTCCTTAGAGGAACCTAAACAAACTGCCGTCTTACCATTTGAGAAATTACATGAAAAATGAAATTATTTCATAGGTGTAGTTAACCCCAATCGATTAGAAAAATACATAAGCAGTTAGTAGAGTGTTGTTTTAAAATACAACTGGGATAGAATACAACTTTGTCTTTGAGGAGTATTACAAGATCGTTCGAAGTTAAAGTCCTCACCTGACGGTGGAATTTTGCATCCCAGTTACCAAGCAAGGACTGAGACATGGCAGGGTTGCCATAGCAACCGCTTCTTTGTTTTTCGGAAATTTGAGTTTAAGAACGGTGGAAAAAAATATCGTGAAACTACGTTGGAAATACGAAAGCTCGTTAATTCCTAGCTGATTCTACATTCTTTCAACTACAATGTCCTTTAACAAAACAAGTTGCTAATTTAAAGTTCATTTACACTATGCGATTTGTTGTATACGATTCTTAGGCTGGCGTATGCATGTGAATGTATAAACACGCGTACAAACGTCACATTTTAAATTTGCCATCTTATGTAATGAGCAAAGGTTGTGGCGTCAGCACTCGTTTCCATTTGTCAGAATGATAATAGCATACAACTAATCGTAAAGTGTAAATAGGCCTTTATATAACAACGCTGTAATTAATTATATTAAAACATGATATTTTCCCACCCCTTGCCGACTTAGAATTGTTCACACAAAAGGGCCTTTAAAATTAAACGCTTAAGTGCCTGAAACCACTAAACTCACATGAACAATTTAAAATCGAAAGTCGGATGGAAAAACACAAAATTTGAGCTTAAAATTTTTCTAAGGATTTCTCCTATTCAGACCTCGTATACATGTACAGCACTGGAGAAAATTTTGGACTGAGATGTTTGTGCTTTCACTATAACATATGAGTGTATCAGAGACAATACATTTCAGTGAAAATTCACCATGCAGATTGCAAATGTTCATAAAATACTTAGATAATGTAAATTTCTAGAGCACAATGTACAAGTGACTTCATCAGCACTACCACTGCCTGTCGAAGCACTTGCCATTTAACTCAGAAAGCTTTTCACTATAAAAAACCATCATAGGGTTTTGGATCTTATAAAACTGGATAAACCTCATGTTTTGTTCTTAGCGCTCATTTAGAGAACCAAGTTCCCTTTTAATTACTGAGCCACTGCGACTCAGAACCCAGAAGATGCAATCTGAATGCAATTCGACTTCATATAATGAGACCTTGTCGTGCTTGTTATGTATTGTTTACTTTAATTTTCGGGAAATCCCCGAGAGCTCAGGGAGTGTCCCTATGGTTCTGGGAATATCACTATAGTTCTGGGAATATCACTATGGTTCTGGAATGGGGGAATATCACTATGGTTCTGGGAATGTGCCACTGGATCAGGCAATAAACATCTATAATCTATATAACCACGCCCGCACTGAGATAAATCAAAATACGGATGAACTATATGTAGCTACAAATTCAAAACAAAGTCAAAACTATTTCGTAACACATGCGTGAAGCGACGTGTTCAACCTAGACGCCCCCAAAAGTAACGTGCACCAGAGTCTGAACGCAGCCCAAGTTTTGTTTACTGACTTTAATTACGCTCACCTTTTCTCACGTGAATGCAATTCGACTTCATATAATGAGACCTTGTCGTGCATGTTGTGTATTGTTTACTTTAATTTTCGGGAAATCCCTGAGGGGCTCAGGGAGTGTCCCTATGGTTCTGGAGATATCACTATGCAATTTGGAAAATAATTGAGATAAACATGCAGCCGAGCCTGCAGAGGATATTTAGTATAGATAGAGGAGAATCGAGCGTAATCCATGTACTTAGCAACTAAATTTCTACAGTATTTGTAGTGTTATATTGTAGTTTATGTCTGTCGTAGGGGGATCGAAACCCTTTGAGGCCGAACTAGGGAATGTCCCACAGGATCAGGTAATAATACACCTACGTATTGTTTCAAATGCGGTTTCTATGACCACGCCCGCAGATACAAAATTTTGTTACTTTGAAATGCTCATTTTTATTGTTGCAATGCAAATTAAAGAATTCATTCCCCAAAATTTACTCAATATACTAACCAAATGATATTATGCTAAGGCTGACACAATAATCGAAATTCTATCAATTTTGCATGTAAGATAAATGTTCTCTGTAGGGATTTCCTGTATTTTATAAGGATTTCTCCTATTCTATAGTGTCGGAATAAAAACTTTCGTTATCTTACACAAATTGAGAGTCAATGTCGGTATATATTTTCATTTGTATTTATTCGCCTTTTCTCTGTAGTTCAAAATGTAATTCAAAAACTGAAAAACATATAGAGGGATTTCGTCTATAGGGAAAATCCATATGGGATTCCCGTGATACCTCGTATACATGTACAGCACTGGAAAAAATTTTGTACTGAAATGTTTGTGCTTTCACTATAACATATGAGTGTATCAGAGACAATACATTTTAGTGAAAATTCACCATGCAGATTACAGATGTTTATGAAATACTTGGATAATGTAAATTTTTAGAGCACAATGTACAAGTGACTTCATCAGCACTACCACTGTCTATCGAAGCACCTGCCATTTAACTCAGAAAGCTTTTCACTATAAAAAACCATCATAGGGTTTTGGATCTTATACGACTGGACAAATCTCGTGTTTTGTTCTTAGCCCTCATTTAGAGAACCAAATTCCCTTTTAATTACAGAGCCACTGCGGCTCAGAACCCAGAAGATGCAATCTGAATGCAATTCGACTTCATGTAATGAGACCATGTCGTGCATGTTGTGTATTGTTTACTTTGATTTTCGGGAAATCCCTTAGGAGCTCAGGGAGTGTCCTTATGGTTCTGGGAATATCACTATGGTTCTGGGAATGTCCCACTGGATCAGGCAATAAACATCTATAATCTATATAACCACGCCCGCACTGAGATAAATCAAAATACGGATAAACTATATGTAGCTACAAATTCAAAACAAAGTCAAAACTATTTCGTAAAACATGCGTGAAGCGACGTGTTCAACCTAGACGTCCCCAAAAGTAACGTGCAACAGAGTCTGAACGCAGCCCAAGTTTTGTTTAACTTTATAATTAAGTTCACCTTTTTTCACGTGACCTGATATATAAAACCAGTGATTGCGCCGAAATTCAATCATTATCTTATTGCTATTCAAAGAGAAAAGATTAAAGAAGTACTGAGCCGTTGGAAGTTAAAGAGATTACCTTTCAACGCGAATTTTTGAAGTTGAGGTTTGTAATGTTTATATGTAAGGTTTTTTTGCTGTGAAACTTCATTATATTCTATGCATTGTGACGGGGATCTTACAGCAAGCTACAGTAACAATTTAGACCATAATGTTGTGTTTAGTTCGCACCTTTTCGCTAAGATGCTAAATTGCATGCATTATGAGCCAATATACAGGGTGTATCAAAAAAATGTCCCAAATGTAAAATTTCCGTTTTTCAGGATATTTTGCAGAATTTGGCAAATTTTTGTGTTTTCAGAGATAGTTAAGACTTATCTGGTATACCTAGGCCAAGTTTGGTTTTTCATTAACAAAATTATGTTACCGGGGGGGGGGGGTGTTCCTTTCCACTGATATTGAGAGGGCTTGCGTGCGAAAATGTGAAGCTGAAATTGAGATATTATTTAGCTGTCTTAAAGTAGAAAAGCTTTTTAATAAACTGTCAAAGTTTCAGGAAAAATAATGCATACTGGGAGCAACGCACGACCCCTAAAGGTGACAAATATTTCATTGCGCGCAGTGGATTAAATGCATCGTTGATTTTAGCGTGACCGATCTCATACAAGGTGGGCAAATGAATAAATTAAAGCAAGAAACTGAACACAAAAACAAAGCGATTTATTCGTGATGTTAATCCTCAGCATGTCCACCATTTCATTCTAAGCAAACTGCGGCTTGTCTGAGCATAGTAAACACTGAACAGCGAACCATTTGTCTGCCCATTCGCCTAGATTTGCCGGTGGTAGCGTAGTAGATTTGCAAGAAAGAATTTCGAACGAAATGGATAATTTGAGGCAGGACAGACAAATGTGGTTCGCCGTTCAGTGTTTACCATGCTCAGACGAGCCGCAGTTTGCTTAAAAAGAAATGGTGGAAATGTTGAGGATTAACATCAAGAATAAAAATCTTGTTATTAAATCGCTTCGTCTTCTTGTTCAGTTTCTCGCTTTAATTTATTCATTTGCCCAGCCTTGCATGAGATCGGTCACGCTAAAATCAACCATGCATTTAATCCACTGCGCGCAATGAAATATTTGTCACTTTTAGAGGTCGCGCGTTGCTCCCAGTTTGCATT